ATGAAAAACGCAGAGAAGTAAATTCCTGCTTGTCGCGAAAGCTTCCAATCTAAACGAAAGCGCCTTCTAGCGCCTGTTATAAAGGGTCACCTTAATAAAATATGTTTTTAAAAAAAAAAGACACTTAAATATTAAAACGCGATTGTCGTGTGTGTGTGTTTTTTTATTAACCTGGCATAGTAAAGTCATTGTATATTTTTTTAAACATTTCCTATAAAGCCGGACAATAGGACGAATCGCTGTCCTTAAAACACCCAGTCGTCCATGGACGTCGAAGGCGGTATAGTACTACAGTAATAGAGCAAGTGCAGAATCGCTGGATCGGAATTGAGAGCCCAAGCGGCGGGGCCCTTGAAAGTGCGAGGCCCGTAGCTACTACACATGTAGTAGTAGTATCTACATATGTAGTAGCTACTACATATGTAGTACTACTACATATGTAGTAGTATCTACATATGTAGTAGTACTACTACATGTGTAGCTACTACACATGTAGTAGTAGTATCTACATATGTAGTAGCTACTACATATGTAGTACTACTACATATGTAGTACTACTACATATGTAGCTACTACACATGTAGTAGTATCTACATATGTAGTACTACCACTACATGTGTAGCTATGGATCTATTTACACATGTAGTGGTAGTAGCTACTACACATGTAGTGGTAGTAGCTACATGTGTAGTACTACCACTACATGTGTAGCTACTACACATGTAGTGGTAGTAGCTACATATGTAGTAGTACTACCACTACATGTGTAGCTACAACACATGCAGTGGTAGTAGCTACATATGTAGTACTACTACGTAAGTAGCAGTACTACTTATGTAGTAGCTACATAAGTAGTAGCGACTACTTATGTAACTACTTTTGCTACGAGGATAATCCGGCACTCAACCGAGTGGCCAATATCACCGCCATCGTCGCGTGGAAATTTACAGATGCGTAGAGACCCATAGAGATACACAGAGACCCATAGAGATACACAGAGACCCATAGATTCCCATAGATATACACAGAAACCCATAGAGATACACAGAGACCCATAGAGAACCATAGAGATACACAGAAACACATATAAATACACAGAGACCCATAGAGATACATAGAGACCCATAGAGAACCATAGAGATACACAGAGACCCATAGAGATACATAGAGACCCACAGAGACCCATAGAAACCCACAGAGATACACAGCGACCTATAGAGATACATAGACCCATAGAGACCCATAGAAACCCATAGAGATACACAGAGACCCATAGAGGTAAATAGATCCATAGAGACCCATAGAAACCCATAGAGATACACAGAGACCCACAGAGACCCATATAAACCCATAGAGATACACAGAGACCCATAGAGATACATAGAGACCCATAGATTCCCATAGAGATACACAGAGACCCATAGAGATACATAGAGACCCATAGATTCCCATAGAGATACACAGAGACCCATAGAGGTAAATAGATCCATAGAGACCCATAGACCAAACCTAAGTATTTTTTTTTGTTATTCTAAAAGGCCCCACTGAAGCGACCTCCTGGCCATCACAACCGAAGTGACTGATCATCATCGTCGTCACCACAACCACGTGGACATGTATAGCAGCAGCCAGAAGATACTCTTTAGACAGCGTGGTGATGTCGATTTGTTACACATACACAGCGACACAGACATTACACACACACAGTAAAACACAGACATTACACACACAGATATTACACACACACACAGACATTACACACACAGACACACACAGACATTACACACACACACACAGTAACACACACAGACATTACACACACGAACAGTAACACACAGACATTACACACACACACAGTAACACACACAGACATTACACACACATATATTAGACACACACAGTAACACACAGACATTACACACACACAGACATTACACACACACAGACATTACACATACACACACACAGACGTTACACACACACACAGTAACACACAGACATTACACACACACACAGTAACATACACACAGACATTACACACACACACACAGTAACACACACATACATTACACACACACAGTAACACACAGACATTACACACACAGACATTACACACACACAGACATCACACACACAGACATTACACACACACAGTAACACACAGACATTACACACACACAGTAACACACAGACATTACACACACAGACATTACACACACACACACACAGATATATTACACACACACAGTAACACACACACAGACATTACACACACACACAGACATTACACACAAACACAGATATATTACACACACACACAGTAACACACAGACATTACACACACACACACAGTAACATACACACAGACATTACACACACACACACAGTAACACACACATACATTACACACACACAGTAACACACAGACATTACACACACAGACATTACACACACACAGACATCACACACACAGACATTACACACACACAGTAACACACAGACATTACACACACACAGTAACACACAGACATTACACACACAGACATTACACACACACACACACAGATATATTACACACACACAGTAACACACACACAGACATTACACACACACACAGACATTACACACAAACACAGATATATTACACACACACAGTAACACACAGACATCACACACACACAGACATTACACACACACACACAGAGATATATTACACACACACAGTAACACAGACATTACACACACACAGTAACACAGACATTACACACACATAGACTTTACACACACACACAGACATTACACACACACATAAAAAGACAAAGATCCCCCGTATAGCCTGTGACAGACTGTTGGGGCAAGTTCTGTTAGCGAGCACACACACACAGTGACACAGAGACGTTACACACACACGTTACACACACGATACACACACGTTACATTACACACGTTACACACACTGTGACACACACACGTCACACGCACGATACACACACGTGACATTACACACACGTCACACACACACGTTACACACACACACGTGACATTACACACACGTTACATTACACACGTTACACAAACTGTGACACACACACGTCATACACACACACACGTTATACACACGATACACACACGTTATACACACGATACACACACGTGACATTACACACACGTGACATTACACACACGTTACATTACACACGTTACACACACTGTGACACACACACGTCACACACACGTTACACACACACACGAGACATTACACACACGTTACATTACACACACGTTACACACACGTTACACACACTGTGACACACACACACACGATACACACACACACGTTACACACACTGTGACACACGTTACACACACACACGAGACATTACACACACGTTACATTACACACACGTTACACACACTGTGACACACACACGTTACACACACACACACGTTACACACACTGTGACAGACACACACACGATACACACACACACACGTTACACACACACGTTACACACACGAGACATTACACACACGTTACATTACACACACGTTACACACACTGTGACACACACACACGTTACACACACACGCGTTACACACACTGTGACACACGTTACACACACACACACACGATACACACACACACGTTACACACACACACACGTTACACACACTGTGACACACGTTACACACACACACACAAGATACACACACACACAGCTACACCACATACGGTCTCACGATGGACGCTTCTTCACAGTGGCAATGAGATACAGACAGACAGGGCTCCAACACTCCGGGCGAATATATAATAGCACTTTAACTATATACACAACGTATTATATACACACACACAACATTTATATTTAATATTATTTAGGTTTTTTTGGTTGCGCTGCCCTTACTAGCTGACACGGCTGTAGTGAACCCCCTGAGAGAGAGAGACACCCAGACCCAGGGCTTGAACCCAGGCTCTCAGTGTCTCTGACACGGCCATTATGAACCCCCTGAGAGAGAGAGAGACACCCAGACCCAGGGCTCGAACCCAGGCTCTCAGTGTCTCCGACACGGCCACTATGAACCCCCTGATAGAGAGAGAGAGACACCCAGACCCAGGGCTCGAACCCAGGCTCTCGGTGTCTCCGACACGACCACTATGAACCCCCTGATAGAGAGAGAGAGACACCCAGACCCAGGGCTCGAACCCAGCCTCTCAGTGTCTCCGACACAGCCACTATGAACCCCCTGATAGAGAGAGAGACCCAGACCCAGGGCTCGAACCCAGGCTCTCAGTGTCTCTGACACGGCCACTATAAACCCCCTGATAGAGAGAGAGACACCCAGACCCAGGGCTCGAACCCAGGCTCTCAGTGTCTCCGACACGGCCACTATGAACCCCCTGATAGAGAGAGAGACACCCAGACCCAGGGCTCGAACCCAGCCTCTCAGTGTCTCTGACACGGCCATTATGAACCCCCTGAGAGAGAGAGACACCCAGACCCAGGGCTCGAACCCAGGCTCTCAGTGTCTCTGACACGGCCATTATGAACCCCCTGATAGAGAGAGACACCCAGACCCAGGGCTCGAACCCAGGCTCTCAGTGTCTCTGACACGGCCATTATGAACCCCCTGAGAGAGAGAGACATCCAGACCCAGGGCTCGAACCCAGCCTCTCGGTGTCTCCGACACGGCCACTATGAACCCCCTGATAGAGAGAGAGACACCCAGACACAGGGCTCGAACCCAGCCTCTCGGTGTCTCCGACACGGCCATTATGAACCCCCTGAGAGAGAGAGAGAGACACCCAGACCCAGGGCTCGAACCCAGGCTCTCAGTGTCTCCGACACGGCCACTATAAACCCCCTGATAGAGAGAGAGACCCAGACCCAGGGCTCGAACCCAGGCTCTCAATGTCTCTGACACGGCCATTATAAACCCCCTGAGAGAGAGAGACACCCAGACCCAGGGCTCGAACCCAGCTTCCCAGTGTCTCCGACACGGCCACTATGTACCCCCTGAGAGAGAGAGAGACACCCAGACCCAGGGCTCGAACCCAGCCTCTCGGTGTCTCCGACACGGCCACGTTGCACTCCCATCCCCCACCTCCCGCCGCCCGAGTCCCTCCTTGCCGTGGAGTTGAACCCAGGCCCTCAGGCTCTGTGGAGCAGTCTGGCTGAGCTGTGGCTCCTGGTCACGACCGTGTCCAGCAGCTGGGAGCAGTCACGGCAGAGAGAGGCCCACACCCAGGCGGCCGCACCGGCCCACAGAGGGCCCAACCTGAGGTGCACACAGAGAGAGATACATGCACAGATATACACAGAGGTACATACACAGAGATACACACACAGAGATACACTGAGATACACACACAGAGATACACACACAGAGATACACACAGAGATACACACAGAGAGAGATACACAGAGATATACACACAGAGATACACACACAGAGATACACACACAGAGATACACACACAGAGATACACATAGAGATACACAGAGATACACTGAGATACACACAGAGATACACACAGAGAGATACACACACAGAGATACACACAGACACACAAAAAACATGCACACACAACAACAACAGCCATTTGCCTCTAAGTGGCGGTGACGTCACCGTGACGCTTGTGCCAGGCTATGTGCACCTTGAGGCCACGTGAAGTGTCGAACGCCCGCTGGCAGGAGGTCACGGGGCAGACCCAGGTGCCACGGGTCGACTGACTGAGATGACTGAGATGACTGGCTGATGCACCACCTGTGCCCCCTACTGTGCCAACCTGCTGTGCTTTAGCCACCCGGCGCTCCGCTCGTTGTTGTGAGCGTCGCTCTTCCGCCCTCCGTTGTTGTTGGAGGGCGACTGCCTCCAACTTCCCAGTAGCGTCCTTCACGAGCCTCCTCCACAGAGGCCTATCCTGACACCGCTGGTATCAGTCATCGGCAAGTCCACTCAGCTCCACGTCCTCCTGTGCCACATCACTCCATCTCTTCTCTAGCCCGTGCCGCGCCCGTTTAGCCCGCTCGATCCGGCCGAACAATAGCTGTTTCGGCATGCGGTGGCTGGGCAGGCGGGCTACATGACCCAGCCAACGCAGCCTTGCCTGCCAGAGGAGCTCACCGATGGGACCTTGCCCAGATCTTTCAAGGATTTGTGAGCTCCTCACACAATCCAGCCTGGTTAAACCCAGGATGGATCGTAGGCAGGCTAGCCTAAATGTTTCTAACCGGCGAAGATGTCCCATTAGGAGGGTCCACGTTTCGCAAGCGTAGAGAAGGGAGGGAATGACCGTGGCCGAGAAGACCTGAAGCTTAGTGCGGAGCGACAGACCAGGTAGCTTCCACACAGCGTTACGTAACCGATGAAAAGATTTTGCCGCTCGACTGATTCGGAGTGAGACCTCTGAGCGAGACCTCTGCTGTTAAACTAATAAGCTTGTGCCGGAGGCCCCGGGGGGACAGGCGTCTATGACGTCTCCTGGCCAAACCCCAATTGGCAGAGCCAGGAGATTGAATCTCTACCCTCGGGGCTCCTCCAGAAACAACAAAGATCAAAGACAAAGATCCCCCGTATAGCCTTAACAGACTGTAGGGGCAAGTGCTGTTAGCGAGCACCTATGAAGGCCGGGACGGTACACGAGGGGGTGGGTGACCAGCACCACGCCCGACCGCCTTTGTCTCCCCCAGTGGCGATGTTTTTATCCACCGCACCAGGTCCTCAGGACCGGTTCAGATAATCGTCACGGGTGTTGGCCGTGAGCGGGAATCGAACCCCGGGTCGCCAGGTTCATAGCGCAGCGTAGCGCTAACCGCTACACTACCGCTCCCCACCCAGAAACAACACCAACACACACACACAGAAACACCCACGTAAAAGACACACACACACACCAACACACACCAACACACACAGACACACACACAGACACCTACGCGTACCCGGCGAGGGAGAGTCCATTGCGGGTGTGAAGGGGGGGATCCTTGGGGTCGACGGACCAGCCCAAGGCGTAAACGGGGACGTGGGACAGCTTCTTGTCAGGGAGTTGAACCTGCGGGGGAGATGTGAGGGTCAGAGGCAAAGACGTGTTCGGTGTGTGGTGAGTCTGTGGGTCTCTGTGTGGTGAGTCTATGGGTCTCTGTGTAGTGAGTCTGTGGGTCTCTGTGTGATGAGTCTGTGGGTCTCTGTGTGGTGAGTCTGTGGGTCTCTGTGTGGTGAGCTCTGTGGGTCTCTGTGTGGTGAGTCTGTGGGTGTCTGTGTGGTGAGTCTGTGGGTCTCTGTGTGGTGAGTCTGTGGGTCTCTGTGTGGTGAGTCTGTGGGTCTCTGTGTGGTGAGTCTGTGGGTCTCTGTGTAGTGAGTCTGTGGGTCTCTGTGTGGTGAGTCTATGGTCTCTGTGTGATGAGTCTGTGGGTCTCTGTGTGGTGAGTCTATGGGACTCTGTGTGGTGAGTCTGTGGGTCTCTGTGTGGTGAGTCTGTGGGTCTCTGTGTGGTGAGTCTGTGGGTCTCTGTGTGGTGAGTCTATGGGTCTCTGTGTGGTGAGTCTGTGGGTCTCTGTGTGGTGAGTCTGTGGGTCTCTGTGTGGTGAGTCTGTGGGTCTCTGTGTGGTGAGTCTGTGGGTCTCTGTGTGATGAGTCTGTGGGTGTCTGTGGGGTGAGTATGTGGGTCTCTGTGTGGTGAGTCTGTGGGTCTCTGTGTGGTGAGTCTGTGGGTCTCTGTGTGGTGAGTCTGTGGGTCTCTGTGTGGTGAGTCTGTGGGTCTCTGTGTGATGAGTCTATGGGTCTCTGTGTGGTGAGTCTATGGGTCTCTGTGTGATGAGTCTATGGGTCTCTGTGTAGTGAGTCTATGGGTCTCTGTGTGGCGAGTCTATGGGTCTCTGTGTGGTGAGTCTATGGGTCTCTGTGTGGTGAGTCTATGGGTCTCTGTGTGGTGAGTCTGTGGGTCTCTGTGTGGTGAGTCTATGGGTCTCTGTGTGATGAGTCTGTGGGTCTCTGTGTGGTGAGTCTGTGGGTCTCTGTGTGGTGAGCTCTGTGGGTCTCTGTGTGGTGAGTCTATGGGTCTCTGTGTGGTGAGTCTATGGGTCTCTGTGTGGTGAGTCTATGGGTCTGTGTGTGGTGAGTCTGTGGGTCTCTGTGTGGTGAGCTCTGTGGGTTTCTGTGTGGTGAGTCTGTGGGTCTCTGTGTGGTGAGCTCTGTGGGTTTCTGTGTGGTGAGTCCATGGGTCTCTGTGTGGTGAGTCTGTGGGTCTCTGTGTGGTGAGTCTAGGGGTCTCTGTGTGGTGAGTCTATGGGTCTCTGTGTGGTGAGTCTATGGGTCTGTGTGGTGAGTCTGCGGGTCTCTGTGTGATGAGTCTGTGGGTGTCTGTGTGGTGAGTCTATGGGTCTCTGTGTGGTGAGTCTGTGGGTCTCTGTGTGGTGAGTCTGTGGGTCTCTGTGTGGTGAGTCTGTGGGTCTCTGTGTGGTGAGTCTGTGGGTCTCTGTGTGGTGAGCTCTGTGGGTCTCTGTGTGGTGAGTCTATGGGTCTCTGTGTGGTGAGTCTATGGGTCTCTGTGTGGTGAGTCTATGGGTCTGTGTGTGGTGAGTCTGTGGGTCTCTGTGTGGTGAGCTCTGTGGGTTTCTGTGTGGTGAGTCTGTGGGTCTCTGTGTGGTGAGTCTATGGGTCTCTGTGTGGTGAGTCTGTGGGTCTCTGTGTGGTGAGTCTGTGGGTCTCTGTGTGGTGAGTCTAGGGGTCTCTGTGTGGTGAGTCTATGGGTCTCTGTGTGGTGAGTCTATGGGTCTGTGTGGTGAGTCTGCGGGTCTCTGTGTGATGAGTCTGTGGGTGTCTGTGTGGTGAGTCTATGGGTCTCTGTGTGCTGAGTCTGTGGGTCTCTGTGTGGTGAGTCTGTGGGTCTCTGTGTGGTGAGTCTGTGGGTCTCTGTGTGGTGAGTCTGTGGGTCTCTGTGTGGTGAGCTCTGTGGGTCTCTGTGTGGTGAGTCTATGGGTCTCTGTGTGGTGAATCTATGGGTCTCTGTGTGGTGAGTCTATGGGTCTCTGTGTGGTGAGTCTGTGGGTCTCTGTGTGATGAGTCTGTGGGTCTCTGTGTGGTGAGTCTGTGGGTCTCTGTGTGGTGAGTCTGTGGGTCTCTGTGTGGTGAGTCTGTGGGTCTCTGTGTGGTGAGTCTGCGGGTCTCTGTGTGGTGAGTCTATGGGTCTCTGTGTGGTGAGTCTATGGGTCTCTGTGTGGTGAGTCTATGGGTCTCTGTGTGGTGAGTCTATGTGTCTCTGTGTGATGAGTCTATGGGTCTCTGTGTGATGAGTCTGTGGGTCTCTGTGTGGTGAGTCTATGGGTCTCTGTGTGATGAGTATGTGGGTCTCAGTGTGGTGAGTCTGTGGGTATCTGTGTGGTGAGTCTATGGGTCTCTGTGTGGTGAGTCTATGGGTATCTGTGTGGTGAGTCTGTGGGTCTCTGTGTGGTGAGCTCTGTGGGTCTCTGTGTGGTGAGTCTATGGGTCTCTGTGTGGTGAGTCTGCGGGTCTCTGTGTGGTGAGTCTATGGGTCTCTGTGTGGTGAGTCTATGGGTCTCTGTGTGGTGAGTCTATGGGTCTCTGTGTGGTGAGTCTATGGGTCTCTGTGTGATGAGTCTATGGGTCTCTGTGTGATGAGTCTGTGGGTCTCTGTGTGGTGAGTCTATGGGTCTCTGTGTGATGAGTCTGTGGGTCTCAGTGTGGTGAGTCTGTGGGTATCTGTGTCGTGAGTCTATGGGTCTCTGCGTGATGAGTCTATGGGTCTCTGTGTGGTGAGTCTATGGGTCTCTGTGTGGTGAGTCTGTGGGTCTCTGCTGTGTGAGTCTATGGGTCTGTGTGTATAGTGTAGTGTATAGCAGTGTAGTGTATCGTGTAGTGTATAGCAGTGTAGTGTATAGTGTAGTGTATAGCAGTGTAGTGTATGTAGTGTATAATGCAGTGTAGTGTATAGTGTAGTGCATAGCAGTGTAGTGTATAGTGCAGTGTATAGTGCAGTGTAGTTTATAGTGTATAGTGCAGTGTAGTGTATAGTGTAGTGCATAACAGTGTAGTGTATAGTGTAGTGTATAGCAGTTAAGTGTATAGCAGTGCAGTGTATAGTAGTGTATAGTAGTGTAGTGTATAGTGCAGTGTAGTGTATCCTGTAGTGTATAGCAGTGTAGTGTATAACAGTGTAGTGTATGTAGTGTATAGTGCAGTGTAGTGTATAGTGTAGTGTATAGTGTAGTGTATAGCAGTGTAGTGTATAGTGTAGTGTATAGCAGTGTAGTGTATCGTGTAGTGTATAGTGTAGTGTATCGTGTAGTGTATAGCAGTGTAGTGAATCGTGCAGTGTATAGCAGTGTAGTGTATTGTGTGTATAGCAGTGTAGTGTATCGTGTAGTGTATAGCAGTGTAGTGAATCGTGCAGTGTATAGCAGTGTAGTGTATAGTGTAGTGTATAGCAGTGTAGTGTATAGTGTAGTGTATAGCAGTGTAGTGTATAGTGTAGTGTATAGCAGTGTAGTGTATAGTGTAGTGTATTGTAGCGACGTTCCTGCGGTTCATTCACGGCACGCACTGCCTGTGGGTGTGTGTGTGTGAGTATAATGAGAGTGACCTCACTATCATTATAATAAGTCAACAATGACTGTAAACGCAGCGCTGCGAGGCACTTGGGTGTCTGTACCACAATTGCACACTCACCTTTGTACAGCACTGCGAGCACACACACCTGCAAAACACACACACGCACACACACACGCACACACACACGTTAGAAGTACACACTCACACACTAACTCACACACACACACTCGTTAGCAGTACACACTCACCCACTCACTCACTCACCACGCACTCACACACTCACCCACTCACCCACTCACTCACTCACCACGCACTCACTCACCACTCACTCACTCACTCACCACACACTCACTCACTCATCACTCACTCACCACACACTCACTCACCACGCACTCACTCACCACTCACTCACTCACTCACCACACACTCACTCACTCACCACACACTCACTCACTCACCACGCACTCACTCACCACTCACTCACTCACCACACACACACTCACTCATCACTCACCACGCACTCACTCACCACGCACTCACTCACCACACACTCCCTCACTCACCACACACTCCCTCACTCACTACACACTCACTCACCACACATTCACTCACACACCACACACTCACTCACCACACACTCACTCACCACTCACTCACTCATCACTCACTCACCACTCACACACTCACTCACCACACACTCACTCACCACACACTCACTCACCACACACTCACTCACTCACTCACCACTCACTCACTCACCATGCACTCACTCACTCACCACACACTCAATCACTCACTCACCACACACTCACTCACCACACACTCACTCACTCACCACGCACTCACTCACCACATACTCACTCACCACGCACTCACCACACACTCACCTCACACTCACCACACACTCACTCACTCACCACTCACTCACCACACACCCACTCACTCACCACTCACTCACCCACACACTCACTCACTCACTCACCACACACTCACTCACCACACACTCACTCACCACACACTCACTCAGCACTCACTCACTCATCACACTCACTCACCACACTCTCACTCACCACTCACTCACCACACACTCACTCACCACACATTCACTCACCACGCACTCACCACACACTCACTCACTCACCCACACACCCACTCACCCACTCACTCACCACGCACTCACCACACACTCACTCACCCACACACCCACTCACCCACTCACTCACCACGCACTCACCACACACTCACTCACTCACCACTCACACACTCACTCACTCACCACACATACACACACTCACTCACCCACACACACACTCACTCACCACACACTCACTACACACTCACTCACCACTCACTCACCACACACTCACTCACTCACCACACACACTCACACACCACACACTCACTCACCACACACTCACACCACACACTCACTCACTCACCACTCACACACTCACTCACTCACCACACTTACACACACTCACTCACTACTCACTCACTCACCACACACTCACTCACTCACCACACACTCACTCACTCACCACACACTCACACACCACACACTCACTCACCACGTGGGGAGGAAAAGGGAGGGGGGAGGAGGGAGGAGGGGGGAGGAAGAGAGAGGGGGGGGGGGTAGGAGGCAGAAGGGGGGGGGTAGGAAGGAGAAGGAGGAGGGGGGTAGGAGAGAGAAGGGGGCAGGAGAAGGAGGAGAGAGAAGGGGGGGGGGGGGTAGGAGGAGGTAGAAGGAGGAGAAAGAGAAGGGGGTAGGAAGGAGAAGGGGGGGGTAGGAAGGGGCAGGAGAAGGGGGTAGGAGAGAGAAGGGGGCAGGAGAAGGAGGAGAGAGAAGGGGGGGGGGTAGGAGGAGGTAGGAGAAGGAGGAGGGGGTAGGAGGGAGAAGAGGGGGGGGGGGTAGGAAGGGGCAGGAGAAGGAGGAGGGGGTAGGAAGGAGGAGGAGGAGGGGGTAGGAGGGAGAAGGGGGCAGGAGAAGGAGGAGAGAGAAGGGGGGGGTAGGAGGGAGAAGGGGGGGGGGGGGTAGGAAGGGGCAGGAGAAGGAGGAGGAGGTAGGAAGGAGGAGGATGAGGGGGTAGGAGGGAGACAGGAGGAGGGGGGTAGGAGAGAGAAGGGGGCAGGAGGAGGAGGAGAGAAAAGGGGGGGGGGGGTAGGAGGGAGAAGGGGGGGGGGGGTAGGAAGGGGCAGGAGGAGGGGGTAGGAGAGAGAGAAGGAGGCAGGAGGCGACCGAGCGAGCGAAGTTTGACAGCGGCCGTGGAGGCGGCCTGCAGGGGGCGCTACCTGCAGCACAGGCGGCACGTGCGTGGGCGCGAGAAGAGGGAGAACTTCGTCTGTTGGCAGCTGAAACAAAGCTGGGGTGGTGGTGGTGGCGGTGGAGAGAGAGAAAGGCGAGGAGGTGGGAAAGTGTTCACGGAAACTCACGGCGACAAACCCGCCATCGCGCCACGGACATTGAGAGTCTTCGTCGTCGTCGTCGTCGTCATCGTCGACATCGTCGTGGTCGTCGTCATCGTCGTCATCATCGTCGTCATCATCGTCATCGTCGTCATCATCGTCGTCATCATCGTCGTCATCATCGTCGTCATCATCGTCGTGGTCGTCGTCATCGTCGTCGTGGTCGTCGTCGTCGTCGTCATCGTCGTCATCATCGTCGTCATTATCGTCGTCGTCATCATCGTCGTGGTTGTCGTCATCGTCACAGTCGTCATCATCGTCGTGGTCGTCGTCGTCATCATCGTCGTCATCATCGTCGTGGTCGTCGTCATCATCGTCGTCATCGTTGTCATCATCGTCGTCATCGTTGTCATCATCGTCGTCATCATCATCGTCATCGTCATCATCATCGTGGTTGTCGTCGTCGTCATCATCGTCACTGCCATCGTCACCAGCAGCACCACGATCATCATCACTCTCATCAACATCATCATCAACAGCAGCTGCTACGACTATTGCCGCTACTGCTACTACTGCTGCTGTTACTGCTGCTGCTGCTACTGCTCCTGCTACTGCTGCTGCTGCTACTGCTCCTGCTACTGCTGCTGCTGTTACTGCTACTGCTGCTGCTGTTACTGCTACTACTGCTGCTACTGCTGCTGCTACTGCTGCTGCTGTTACTGCTGCTGCTGTTACTGCTACCACTGCTGCTACTGCTAACACTGCTGCTACTGCTGCTGTTACTGCTGCCGCTACTACTACTGCTGCTACTACTGCTGCTACCACTGCTGCTACTACTACTACTGCTGCCGCTACTACTGCTGCTACTGTTACTGCTACTACTGCTGCCGCTACTACTACTGCTGCTACTGTTACTGCTACTCCTGCTGCCGCTACTACTACTGCTGCTGTTACTGCTACAACTGCTGCTACTACTACTGCTGCTGTTACTGCTACTACTGCTGGCTGTTACTGCTACAACTGCTACTACTACTGTTACTACTGCTGCTGCTACTGCTGCTGTTATTGCTACTACGGCTGCTACTACTACTGCTACTACTGCTGCTGTAATTGCTACTACTGCTGTTATTGCTACTACTACTGCTACTACACTGTTGGGGGCGTGGCACCATGCTGTGTGTGGGGGGGGGGGGGCGTAGCACCATGCTGTGTGTGTGTGGGGGGGCGTAGCACCATGCTGTGTGTGTGTGGGGGGCGTGGCACCATGCTGTGTGTGGGGGGGGCGTGGCACCATGCTGTGTGTGGGGGGGCGTGGCACATTGCCTTGTGTGTGTGTGGGGGGCGTAGCACCATGCTGTGTGTGTGTGGGGGGCGTGGCACCATGCTGTGTGTGGGGGGGGGCGTGGCACATTGCCTTGTGTGTGGGGGGGGCGTGGCACCTTGCCCTGTGTGTGGGGGGGGCGTGGCACCTTGCCCTGTGTGTGTGGGGGGCGTGGCACCATGCTGTGTGTGGGGGGGCGTGGCACATTGCCTTGTGTGTGTGTGTGGGGGGCGTGGCACCATGCTGTGTGTGGGGGGGCGTGGCACATTGCCGTGTGTGTGTGTGTGGGGGGGCGTGGCACCATGCTGTGTGTGTGGGGGGGCGTGGCACCATGCTGTGTGTGTGGGGGGGGCGTGGCACCATGCTGTGTGTGGGGGGGCGTGGCACCATGCTGTGTGTGTGGGGGGCGTGGCACCACGGTGCCCTGTGTGTGGGGGCGTGGCACCACCGTGCCCTGTGTGCGTGGGGGGCGTGGTACCACCGTGCCCTGTGTGTGGGGGGGCGTGGCACCACCGTGCGCTGTGTGGGGGGGCGTGGCACCACCGTGCCCTGTGTGTGGGGGGGGGGGCGTGGCACCACCGTGCCCTGTGTGGGGGCGTGGCACCACGGTGCCCTGTGTGTGGGGGCGTGGCACCACCGTGCGCTGTGTGGGGGGGCGTGGCACCACCGTGCCCTGTGTGTGGGGGGGGGGCGTGGCACCACCGTGCCCTGTGTGGGGGCGTGGCACCACGGTGCCCTGTGTGTGGGGGCGTGGCACCACCGTGCCCTGTGTGCGTGGGGGGCGTGGTACCAGCGTGCCCTGTGTGTGGGGGGGCGTATCACCACCGTGCGCTGTGTGGGGGGGGCGTGGCACCACCGTGCCCTGTGTGTGTGGGGGCGTGGCACCACCGTACCCTGTGTGCGTGGGGGGCGTGGCACCACAGTGCCCTGTGTGTGTGGGGGGTGTGGCACCACCGTGCCCTGTGTGGGGGCGTGGTACCACCGTGCCCTGTGTGTGTGGGGGGGGCGTGGCACCTTGCCTTGTGTGTGGGGGGGGGGGCGTGGCACCTAGCTGTGTGTGTGGGGGGCGTGGCACCTTGCCATTGTCCAGGAGGGCAAAGCGGCCGCGGTCCCTGCAGTGGAGGTCGAGCTCGGCGCAGGAGAGGACCTTGCGTATGGAGGAGACGTCCTCCAGGGTGAGCGTCAGCGTCTCCAGCGAGTGGGCAAACTGTGTGGGGTGGTGGTCGTAGTAGTGGTCGTGGTGGTGGTCGTGGTGGTGGTCGTGGTGGTGGTTGTGGTGGTGGTCGTAGTGGTGGTCGTGGTGGTCGTGGTGGTGGTTGTGGTGGTGGTCGTGTGGGTGGTGGTTGTGTGGGTGGTGGTTGTGTGGGTGGTGGTTGTGTGGGTGGTGGTTGTGGTAGTGGTTGTGGGTGGTGGTTGTGTGGGTGGTGGTGGTCGTGGTGGTTGTGGTGGTGGTCGTGGTGGTTGTGTGGGTGGTGGTGGTCGTGGTGGTTGTGGTGGTGGTTGTGTGGGTGGTGATGTTCGTGGTGGTTATGGTGGTGGTTGTGTGGTGGTGGTCGTGGTGGTTGTGGTGGTGGTTGTGTGGGTGGTGGTGATGTTCGTGGTGGTTATGGTGGTGGTTGTGTGGTGGTGGTGGTCGTGGTGGTTTTGGTGGTGGTTGTGTGGGTGGTGGTGATGTTCGTGGTGGTTATGGTGGTGGTTGTGTGGATGGTGGTGGTCGTGGTGGTTGTGGTGGTTGTGTGGTGGTTGTGTGGGTGGTTGTGGTGGTGGTTGTGGTGGTGGTCGTGGTGGTTGTGGTGGTGGTTGTGTGGATGGTGGTGATCGTGGTGGTGGTGAAAACGGCATCGCGTCATCACTATCATCATCACTTGCCCATTTAGTCACCCACCCTCCCGCTCACCCACTCATCCATTGACCCACTCACCCTCCTACTCACTCGCTCACCCACTCACCCGCCCGCTCACCCACTCATCCGCCCGCTCACCCACTCACCCACCCGCTCACCCACTCACCCACCCGCTCACCCACCCGCTCACCCACCCGCTCACCCACCCGCTCACCCACTCACCCACCCGCTCACCCACCCGCTCACCCACCCGCTCACCCACTCCGCCCGCCCGCTCAGCCACTCACCCACCTGCTCATTCACGCTTCCACCCACCCACCCGCTCACCCACCCGCTCACCCACCCACCCGCTCACCCACCCACCCACTCACTCACCCACCCACCCACTCACCCACCCACTCACCCACCCACTCACCCGCCCACCCACTCGCTCACCCACTCGCTCACCCACCCGCTCACCCACCCACCCACCCGCTCACCCACCCACTGCATTAGGCCCCCCCCACTACCACGCCTCCTCCTTCCCACTCACCTCCCGCTTGGGTTCGGTGCTGCAGCGCGACCGTCCCATCGATGGACGTCTTGTCTCCCGGACAGGCGATGGTGGCGATGAGACAGACGATGGGGATGATGGGACAGACGATGGGAGTGATGAGACAGGCGATGGGAGTGATGAGACACACGATGGGGGTGATGGGACAGGCGATGGGAGTGATGAGACAGGCGATGGGAGTGATGAAACACACGATGGGGGTGATGGGACACACGATGGAGGTGATGAGACAGACGATGGGAGTGATGGGACACACGATGGGGGTGATGAGACAGACGATGGGAGTGATGAGACACACGATGGGAGTGATGAGACAGACGATGGGAGTGATGAGACAGACGATGGGAGTGATGAGACACACGATGGGAGTGATGAGACAGACGATGGCGGTGATGGGACAGGCGATGGGGGTGATGGGACAGGCGATGGGGGTGATGGGACAGGCGATGGCGGTGATGGGACAGACGATGGGGGTGATGGGACAGACGATGGGAGTGATGAGACAGGCGATGGCGGTGATGGGACAGACGATGGGGGTGATGAGACAGAGGATGGGGGTGATGGGACAGACGATGGGGGTGATGAGACAGACGATGGGGGTGATGAGACACACGATGGGAGTGATGGGACACACGATGGGGGTGATGAGACATACGATGGGAGTGATGGGACACACGATGGGGGTGATGAGACAGGCGATGGGAGTGATGGGACAGGCGATGGGAGTGATGAGACACACGATGGCGGTGATGAGACAGAGGATGGGAGTGATGGGACGGACGATGGGAGCGATGGGACAGGCGATGGCGGTGATGGGACAGGCGATGGGAGTGATGGGACAGGCGATGGGAGTGATGGGACGGACGATGGAGGTGATGAGACACACGATGGGAGTGATGGGACAGGCGATGGGAGTGATGAGACAGGCGATGGCGGTGATGAGACAGACGATGGGAGTGATGAGACAGAGGATGGGAGTGATGAGACACACGATGGCGGTGATGGGACAGGCGATGGGGGTGATGGGACAGGCGATGGGGGTGATGGGACGGACGATGGGGGCGATGGGACGGACGCTGACAGAGGCCTCAAGGTCGTACCCTTGCAGATGTCCGCCAGGAGTTTCTCCCTGGCGCTGCGCTCGCGAGGCTGGGAGGCCGAGAGGCGCCTCTGCCAGGCCTGCACCATCACCAACATCACCAACATCACCAACATCACCATCACCAACATCACCAACATCACCACCATCACCACCATCAGCAACACCACCATCACCACCATCACCACCATCACCACCATCAGCAACATCACCATCACCACCATCACCACCATCACCACCATCAGCAACACCACCATCACCACCACCATCACCATCAGCAACACCACCATCACCGCCATCACCACCATCACCACCATCAGCAACATCACCGCCATCACCACCATCAGCAACACCACCATCACCGCCAGTGACACCACAAGTCACCACCATCACCACCATCATTATCATCACTACCATTACCACCACCATCACCGGCAGTAACACCACCATCAACATCACCAACATCACCATCACCACCATCACTACCATCAGCAACACCACCATCACCACCATCAGCAACACCACCATCACCACCATCACCAACACCAACATCACCACCATCACCACCATCAGCAACACCACCATCACCACCATCAGCAACATCACCACCACCATCACCACCATCAGCAACACCACCATCACCGCCAGTGACACCACAAATCACCACCATCGCCACCATCATTATCATCACTACCATTACCACCACTATCACCGGCAGTAACACCACCATCAACACCATCAACACCATCAACACCACCAACACCATCATCACCACATTCGCTATCATCATCATTTCAGTTTCAGTTTGCAGTTAATTTATTTTGGTATCGAGCCCTGTGAGCCATTCGGCTCTTGAATCGGGTGCAACCACAACAAACAAAAAAACTAAAACACGGACAAGATAAACATCTTAAAGTGACTACGTGTTGACTGTGCAAACAGAAAATCCATGAATAAAAACAGCAAAAAATTCCAGAAAAAAGCACCGTACACCAACGCTGTGTGCAAAAACTCCCAGTGGGATGCAAATCAAACAACAACAACTACAAGAAAACTTAGATTTAGGCCCGTCAGTCTAACTCGGTACTACAACAAAACAAACATGTCCAAACCAAAAAACTTTTCGAAAATCACCAAAAAATAAAGCCATAATTGCAACGTAACAGTGATCATAGGGACTGTGACCGAATTTTTTTTTACAATAAACTACATAAATAACATGTACCACCAAACCCTAGAGCCATAGCTGGCTGCATGAGTTACTCCACAACAACAGAAGCATCAGTCGGAGTACCAAATGTTTCAATGCACCTTTAAGATCAGCACGCTAAATCGAAATACAGATAATACTTTGCAGCGTCATCCGGAGCGAAACATTTTATTTTATTTTACGCCAATGAATAGCAGTGGCAGCTAGGGGTGTACAACTCCTCTAGAGCAGTTTTGAGAGAAGATCTCATAGGTAGTGATTCAAGTTGCCGTTTATTGGCAATAGCATTCCAGACCCTGGGGGCATCAATAGCAAAGGCCCTTCCTCCAGTATTTGTACGGCAATAAGGAATGTGAAGCTGGTAAATGAGCCAAGACCTGAGGTCAAATTTGTTCTTTGAAACAGAGAGGAGATCCAGCAGGTAGTCTGCGGATTTTTTTGTAAGTACATCGTGAATAAATAAGATCTGGTGCACAATCCGTCGAACATTAAGAGATGTTAAGTTTGACCCAATGTAGAGATCACAGTGGTGAGTCCTATATGGGCAGTTCAATGCAAATCTTAAGGCCGAGTGATAGATGGAATCAAGCTTCTTCAGTGCAGTACTTGGGGCTGATTTATACACGATGTCACAGTAGTCAAGTAGAGGCAGTATGGTAGCTTTTATCAATTCCAAACGGAACATTGGGGGGAAGCAGTGCTTGTGTCGATACAGAAAACCAATTTTTATTTTTGTCTTTTTACCAATATAATCAGTGTGATCTTCAAAATTCAGTTTTGAATCCAGGATGACCCCAAGATACTTATAGATCTTAACTTGCTCTATTTGATAATTATTTAAGGAATGTAATTGGGGAAAAATAACTTCCTGCTTTAGTCCCGGTGAGAAGCATAGCACCTTGATTTTGGAGGTATTCAGGACTAGTTTAAGAGCAACTAGCTGATGTTGTAGTTTGTTAAAATCACCCTGCAGCTTAGCAATCACGTCATCCGGAGAGCGGCCAGCAGTAATCAGTATCGTGTCATCTGCAAAAAAAGATTTACCCTGGAATGATCCAGGTCAGTGCCAAAGTCATTGACATAAAGAGAGAACAAGAGGGGGCCGAGGATGGAACCCTGTGGAACCCCTTTTGTTATCTTAACACTGTTTGACCTCCAACCATCTGTGAATACAATTTGGGTGCGAGAAAAGAGGTAATTTTGAAACCATTTTACTGCGTTTTCGGAAAAACCGAGGCAACTTAGTTTACCCAGCAGGGTGTTGTGGTCTACTGTATCAAAAGCTTTGGACAGGTCTAGAAAAAGACAGGCACAGTACTGCTTATTATCAAGGCTACTGTAAATGTGATTCAGAGAGTCTAATGCAGCAGATGTGGTGCTGTATTTTTTTTCGGAACCCAGATTGTTTTAGATGTAGTAGATTGTTGATGGACAGGAAACTACTAATTTGGTAGTTCAATAATTTTTCAAAAATTTTCATCAACGGGGACAAAATTGAGATAGGTCGGTAGTTATTTGGATCATCTTTAGGGCCCCCTTTGTGAAGTGGACGGACATAGGAATGTTTCCATTCTAGAGGAACTGATGCTTCTTTGATGGACAGGTTGAAAATATGGGCTATAGGTTTGTACATCAGGTGACCAACAGTTTGTTGCATCTGCTCCGGTAGAGGAGGACCCTTTGAGGTAGGGCAGTTGTTTCAGAACATTACTTTCGTGGATTGGCTGGAAACTAAATTCGTTTAATGTTTGGACACTGGTGTAGTAATTTGCATGAGTAAGGTTGACTCCCAATACATTATCAAAAAGATTACCAGCTTCAGAAAAATGAAGGTTAAAATTGTCAACTATTTTTTGGGGATCTGAAAAATATTCCCCCATTTCGGTGAAGCTCAACGGGCAGATTGTCTGTTTTGGATGCCTTTTTGATACATTTGATTGTTTTCCAGTACATCCTGGCATTTCGAATGTGATTCCAGGAGAGTGGAGGAAAAATAGGCATTTTTTGCATGCCGTATTTTCTTGACGCATTTATTCCTTAAAATCCTGTATTCTAGCCAGTCATTGACCAAATTACTTTTCTGAGCACATGCCCAAGCCTTGTCCCTAGTTTTCATGAGCTTTGTAATGAAAGGATCAAACCATGGTGGGTGGTTGCCTTTAGTTTTAAATCTAACCAACGGAGCATGTTAGTTAAGAATTTGGAGAAACGTGTACCTGAAGGTCTCCCAAGCCGTAGTCAGGTTAGGGATATCGCAGACCTTGTCAAGATCCGAGTGAAGCACATCATTAGTAAATGCCTGAGTGCTGAAGTGTCTCATAGAGTGCTTGTAAACCAGTTTAGGGGGGGCTTTGGGTCTGGCTGATGATCTCACCCCAAAAATGAAGGAGTGATCACTAAGGTTATTACCCAGAACACCAGTCAGTGTGAAATTGTGAGGGGCATTTGTCAATAGGACGTCAAGCAGAGATGACTGTCCCGGATTTTTTAGGTTGGGTCTTGTGGGGACATTTATTAATTGAAACAGGTTAACTTAATCTGCAAAAATTTGTGGCCACGGCCGGCGGGTTTAGCCAATTCCAATTTAGATCACCCACCACCACCAACACCATCATCATCACCACCACCAACACCATTATCATCATCACTACCACCACCATGATCATCATCATCAACACCACCTCCATTATCATCATCATCATCACCACCATCACCGTCAGCAACACCACCACCATCACCGTCAGCAACACCACCACCATCACCGTCAGCAACACCACCACCATCACCGTCAGCAACACCACCATCACCACCATCACCGTCAGTGATACCACAATCACCACCATCACCACCATCACTACCGTCATTATCATCACTACCATTACCATCACCGTCAGCAACACCACCATCAACACCATCAACACCACCATCAATATCATCACTACCACCACCATCATCACCACCACCACTACCAACACTATCATCATCATCATCATCACTACCACCACAACCACCACGGTCATTATCATCATTACCACCACCACCACTACCAACACACTCATCATCATCACCACCACCACTACCAACACTATCATCATCACTACCACCGCAACCACCACCATTATCATCATCATTACCACCACCACCAACTACATCATCATCACCACCATCATCATCACCATCACCACCACCACCACCACAATCGGTCAGACGAGGCTCACCGGTTTGAGCGCGGGACGTGACCTGATGTAGTCCAGGGACTGGTCGTGAGCGCTTCCCCACGAGCCACGGCACCGTTGAGGCGCCTACGAGAACGAGGAGGTGACGAGGCCCCGGGCGGTCATTTCATCGTCGTCGCTAAACGTCGTCGCTAATCGTGGTCGTCGCTAATCGTCGTCGTCGCTAACGAGCAAGCTCCTAGCGCTGCACGGTGACCGCGACGAGGGGGAAGGGCCCCGCCGCTGTGCTTCACAGACGGGGAGAGCGGGCCGTGAGTCCACTCACCAAAACCACCTGGATACTCACTCTCAACCACTCACCCAGTCACTCACTCACTCAACCACTCACCCAGTCACTCACTCACTCAACCATTCATCCAGTCACTCACCCACTCAACCACTCATACACTCATACACTCACCCAGTCACTCACTCATTCAACCACTCACCCAGTCACTCACTCACTCAACCAGTCACTCACTCAACCACTCACCCAGTCCTCACTCATCCACTCATCAACTCACCCAGTCACTCATTCAACCACTCACCCAGTCACTCACTCAACCACTCACCCAGTCCTCACTCATCCACTCATCCACTCACCCAGTCACTCATTCAACCACTCACCCAGTCACTCACTCAACCACTCACCCAGTCCTCACTCATCCACTCATCCACTCACCCAGTCACTCACTCACTCAACCACTCACCCAGTCACTCACTCATCCAGTCATCCACTCATCCAGTCATCCACTCACCCAGTCACTCACTCACTCAACCACTCATCCAGTTACTCACTCACTCAACCACTCATCCAGTCACTCACTCACTCAACCAGTCACTCACTCATCCACTCACCCAGTCACTCACTCAATCAACCACTCACCCAGTCACTCACTCACTCAACCACTCATCCAGTCACTCACTCACTCACTCAACCACTCATCCAGTCACTCACCCACTCAACCACTCACCCACTCAACCACTCACCCACTCAACCACTCATCCAGTCACTCACTCACTCAACCACTCATCCAGTCACTCACTCACTCACTCAACCACTCATCCAGTCACTCACCCACTCAACCACTCACCCACTCATACACTCACCCAGTCACTCACTCAACCACTCATCCAGTCACTCACTCACTCAACCACCCATCCACTCACTCAACCACCCACCCGCCCATGCGCGCTATTCGCCAGACGTGAGCCACGCTACCGGGGTGGGCTTGAGGGTGAACCTGCGGAGGGCGATGTCCCGCAGCAGCATCTCGAAGGGCGTCAGCCTCACTCACTCACCCAGTCACTCACCCAGTCACTCACCCACTCAACCAGTCACTCACTCACTCACTCAACCACTCATCCAGTCACTCACCCACTCAACCACTCATCCAGTCACTCACCCACTCAACCACTCACCCACTCACCCACTCAGTCTCTCACTCACTCAACCACTCATGCAGTCACTCACTCACTCAACCACTCACCCACTCATACACTCACCCAGTCACTCACTCACTCAACCACTCATCCAGTCACTCACTCACTCAACCACCCATCCACTCACTCAACCACCCACCCGCCCACCCGCCCATGCGCGCTAATTCGCCGGACGTGAGCCACGCTACCGGGGTGGGCTTGAGGGTGAACCTGCGGAGGGCGATGTCCCGCAGCAGCATCTCGAAGGGCGTCAGCCTGAAGGGCGTCGCGCCGGTGGGAGCCTTCCCCCCGCACTCCGCCTTCCTCAGCCGGACTCCACCACCACCACCACCGAGCTCCTCCATGACGCTCGCCCACGCTCGGTCCTGGGGGGGCGACAAAGGCGGCAGTGAGCGGGAGAAGCTGTCAAGGGTCTCACCCCCCACTCACTCACTCACTCACCCCCCCACTCTCCCCACACCACCAACTGGGGGGAGACAAAGGCGGACGGGCGTGCGTGGTGCTGGCCACCCACCACCCCGTCGTGTGCCCGCAGTGCCGGCCTTCATCAGCGCCGCTACTCGCTGCTAAACAGCGCTTGCCCCAACACGTCCGCTGAAGGCTACACATGGGGCACCTTTGCCTTTGGGCATCGCCTAGGTCGACTCAGCCTCAGTAGTGAACGCGGCCACTCGGGGAGAGACAAAGGCGGCCGGGCGTGGCGCCGGCCACCCACCCCCCTCGTGCGTCCCGTTCCGGCCTTCACAAGGTGATGCTCGCCAACAGCACTTGCCCCTAACAGCCTGTTAAGGCTACACGGGGGATCTTTGCGTCCGTGTGTGCGTGTGTGTGCATGTGCGTACGTGCGTGTGCATGTGTGTGCGTGTGTGTGTGCCATTCCCTGTACACCTTGGGGTGCGACAGGAATGTCCTCTGGCTCCCACATTATTTAACATCTATTTTGACCACGTAGTTCGTGAAGCCTTCAATAGCTGTACCGGGGGAATCTCCATTTGGTACAGATATAATGGGAGGCTGATCGATGCCCGGGTGCGGTCAAGGGATGGCTCCCTATTGCTCAACCACGTTATGTATGCTGATGATTTGGTAATAGCTGCTCAGTCAGAGGAGGAGTTGGAGACGCTGCTGCTGAGACTGGAGCGTGCCACTAACAGGGGGGGCCTTACCATCAGCCCCACCAAAACTAAGCACCTGCCTGGGTATTTTGTACCATCGGACACTCCACCCCCACAACTCCCAATCGGTGATGGGGCAGTTGTGGAGAGAGTGGAGAGTTTCCCATAACTGGGCAGTGTGCTTATGACTGGCTCCAGTTTAACAGCAGAGGTCTCACTCCGAATCAATCGAGCGGCAATATCTTTTCATCGGTTGCGTAACACTGTGTGGAAGCTACCTGGTCTGTCGCTCCGCACTAAGCTTCAGGTCTTCTCGGTCACGGTCATTCCCTCCCTTCTCTACGCTTGCGAAACGTGGACCCCCCTAATGGAACATCTTCGCCGGTTAGAAACATTTAGGCTGGCCTGCCTACGATCCATCCTGGGTTTAACCAGACTGGATTGTGTGAGGAGCTCACAAATCCTTGAAAGATCTGGGCAGGGTCCCATCGGTGAGCTCCTCCGGCAGGCAAGGCTGCGATGGCTGGGTCATGTAGCCCGCATGCCCAGCCACCGCATGCCGAAACAGCTTTTGTTTGGCCGGATTGAGGGGGCTAAGCGGGCGCGGCACGGGCTAGAGAAGAGATGGAGTGATGTGGTACAGGAGGACGTGGAGCTGAGTGGACTTGCCGATGACTGGTACCAGCGGTGTCAAGATCGGCCTCTGTGGAGGAGGCTCGTGAAGGACGCCGCTACTGGGCAGTTGGAGGCAGTCGCCCTCCAACAACAACGGAGGGCGGAGGAGCGACGCTCACAACAACGAGCGGAGCGCCGGGTGGCTAAAGCACAGCAGGATGGCACAGTAGGGGGCACAGGTGGTGCATCGGCCAGTCATCTCAGTCAGTCGACCCGTGGCACCTGGGTCTGCCTCGTGACCTCCTGCCAGCGGGCGTTCGACACTTCACGTGGCCTCAGGGTGCACATAGCCTGGCACAAGCGTCGTGGTGACGTCACCGCCACTTAGTGGCGAATGGCGGTTGTTGTTGTTGTGTGTGTGCATGTGCTTGTGCGTGCGTGTGCGCGTGTGTGTGCGTGCGCGTGTGTGTGTGCGTGTGTGTGCGTGTGTGTGTGTGCGTGCGTGCGTGCGTGTGTGCATGTGTGTGCATGTGCGTACGTGCGTGTGTGTGTGTATGTGCGTGCGTGATGTGCATGCGTGTGTGTGTGCGCGCGTGTGTGTGCGTGTGTGTGCGTGTGTGTGCATGTGTGTGCGTGCACGTGTGTGCGTGTGCGTGCGCGTGTGATTTCACCCGCGTATTTTGCTGGCAAGCGCCACCTGGTCCCCGGTGGGCGTTGGCGAAGGTGTCGTTCGCCTCGATTCTCTTCAGATTCTACGGGGCGCGGAGTGGAAGGAGATGACAAAGCGCATCCCACGAGCATCAGCAACATCGCCATCAACCCGGTTGCCGTGCCGACGACGCCATCAACCCGGTTGCCGTGCCGACGCATAGAGATCCACAGAGATACGTAGACCCATCGACTAAAAAACATTTTTTTTTTTATTTTAACCAGGTGAGGTCCCGCTGAGCTGGGCCATTACAAATGATAGCGGCTCAACAAAGTGGCTGATATCATCATCATCATCATCGCGTGGAAAACCCACGACCTCCTGTGTACCAGGCGAGGTAGTTAACATCTCCTAGCCACCGTGATGATGATGGTGGTGGAACCCACGACCTCCTGTATACCAGGTGAGGTAGTCAACATCTCCTAGGCACCGTGATGATGGTGGTGGAACCCACGACCTCCTGTATACCAGACGAGGTAGTCAACATCTCATAGCCACCGTGATGATGGTGGTGGAACCCACGACCTCCTGTATACCAGGCGAGGTAGTCAACATCTCATAGCCACCGTGATGACGATGGTGGTGGAACCCACGACCTCCTGTGTACCAGGCGAGGTAGTCAACATCTCCTTGCCACCGTGATGATGGTGGTGGAACCCACGACCTCCTGTATACCAGGCGAGGTAGTCAACATCTCCTAGCCACCGTGATGATGGTGGTGGAACCCACGACCTCCTGTATACCAGGCGAGGTAGTCAACATCTCATAGCCACCGTGATGATGATGGTGGTGGAACCCACGACCTCCTGTGTACCAGGCGAGAGAGTCAACATCTCCTAACCACCGTGATGATGATGGTGGTGGAACCCACGACCTCCTGCGTACCAGGCGAGGGAGTTAACGTCTCCTAGCCACCGTAATGATGATGAGCGAGAGAAAGACGCAGACTTCAATTATACAGCAGAAGAAGGCATCGTCAGGGGTCGGGATGGAACCCACGACCCCCTGCGTACCAGGCGAGGGAGTTAACGTGCCCTAGCCACCGTGGAGCACATCGACAGACAAAGACAAAGGTTCCCGACCCCACCATGTAGCCTGCACAGGCTCTAGGGGGCAAGAGCTACGAGCGGGCAGCAGCCTCTGCTGAGACTGGCACTGGTCTGGGTCACGACTCGTGACTAAGTTCGTGACCGATGAGCACGGTTGGCTACATACGCTGGTGCGGAAGAAGTTCACCATGCATACACACACAGAGACCCATAGACTCATCGCACAGAGACCCATAGACTCACCACACAGAGACCCACAGACTCACCACACAGAGACCCATAGACTCATCGCACAGAGACCCATAGACTCACCACACAGAGACCCACAGACTCACCACACAGAGACCCATAGACTCATCGCACAGAGACCCATAGACTCACCACACAGAGACCCACAGACTCACCACACAGAGACCCATAGACTCACCACACAGAGACCCATAGACTCACTCACAGAGACCCACAGACTCACCACACAGAGACCCATAGACTCACCACACAGAGACCCATAGACTCACCACACAGAGACCCACAGACTCACCACACAGAGACCCATAGACTCACCACACAGAGACCCATAGACTCACCGCACAGAGACCCATAGACTCACCACACAGAGACCCATAGACTCACTCACAGAGACCCACAGACTCACCACACAGAGACCCATAGACTCACCACACAGAGACCCATAGACTCACCACACAGAGACCCACAGACTCACCACACAGAGACCCATAGACTCACCACACAGAGACCCATAGACTCACCACACAGAGACCCATAGACTCACCACACAGAGACCCATAGACTCACCACACAGAGACCCATAGACTCACCACACAGAGACCCATAGACTCACCACACAGAGAGCCATAGACTCACCACACAGAGAGCCATAGACTCACTACACAGAGACCCACAGACTCACTACACAGAGACCCATAGACTCACCACACAGAGACCCATAGACTCACCACACAGAGACCCATAGACTCACCACACAGAGACACATAGACTCACACAGCAGAGACCCATAGACTCACACAGCAGAGACCCATAGACTCACTCCACAGAGAACCATAGACTCACCACACAGAGACCCATAGACTCACCACACAGAGACCCATAGACTCACCACACAGAGACCCATAGACTCACCACACAGAGACCCATAGACTCACCACACATGGAACCATAGACTCACCACACAGAGACCCATAGACTCACCACACAGAGACCCATAGACTCACCACACAGAGACCCATAGACTCAGTACACAGAGACCCACAGACTCACTAAACAGAGACCCATAGACTCACCACACAGAGACCCATAGACTCACCACACAGAGACCCATAGACTCACTACACAGAGACCCATAGACTCACCACACAGAGACCCATAGACTCACCACACAGAGACCCATAGACTCACCACACAGAGACCCATAGACTCACCACACAGAGACCCATAGACTCTCCACAGAGACCCATAGACTCATCACACAGAGACGCATGCACTCACTATACAGAGACCCACAGACTCACTATACAGAGACCCATAGACTCACCACACAGAGACCCATAGACTCACCACACAGAGACCCACAGACTCACCACACAGAGACCCATAGACTCACCACACAGAGACCCATAGACTCACTACACAGAGACCCATAGACTCACCACACAGAGACACATAGACTCACACAGCAGAGACCCATAGACTCACAGAGCAGAGACCCATAGACTCACACAGCAGAGACCCATAGACTCACCACACAGAGACCCATAGACTCACCACACAGAGACCCATAGACTCACCACACAGAGACCCATAGACTCACCACACAGAGACCCATAGACTCACCACACAGAGAACCATAGACTCACCACACAGAGACCCATAGACTCACCACACAGAGACCCATAGACTCACCACACAGAGACCCATAGACTCAGTACACAGAGACCCACAGACTCACTAAACAGAGACCCATAGACTCACCACACAGAGACCCATAGACTCACCACACAGAGACCCATAGACTCACTACACAGAGACCCATAGACTCACCACACAGAGACCCATAGACTCACCACACAGAGACCCATAGACTCACCACACAGAGACCCATAGACTCACCACACAGAGACCCATAGACTCACCACACAGAGACCCATAGACTCACCACACAGAGACCCATAGACTCACCACACAGAGACCCACAGACTCACTACACAGAGACCCATAGACTCACCACACAGAGACCCATAGACTCACCACACAGAGACCCACAGACTCACCACACAGAGACCCATAGACTCACCACACAGAGACCCATAGACTCACCACACAGAGACCCATAGACTCACCACACAGAGACCCATAGACTCACCACACAGAGACCCATAGACTCACCACACAGAGACCCATAGACTCACCACACAGAGACCCATAGACTCACCACACAGAGACCCATAGACTCACCACACAGAGACCCATAGACTCACCACACAGAGACCCATAGACTCACCACACAGAGACCCACAGACTCACTACACAGAGACCCATAGACTCACCACACAGAGACCCATAGACTCACCACACAGAGACCCACAGACTCACCACACAGAGACCCATAGACTCACCACACAGAGACCCATAGACTCACCACACAGAGACCCATAGACTCACTACACAGAGACCCAGAGACTAACACAACAGAGACCCATAGACTCACACAGCAGAGACCCATAGACTCACCACACAGAGACCCATAGACTCACCACACAGAGACCCATAGACTCACCACACAGAGACCCATAGACTCACCACACAGAGACCCATAGACTCACCACACAGAGACCCATAGACTCACTACACAGAGACCCAGAGACTAACACAACAGAGACCCATAGACTCACTACACAGAGACCCATAGACTCACTACACAGAGACCCATAGACTCACCACACAGAGACCCATAGACTAACACAACAGAGACCCATAGACTCACCACACAGAGACCCACAGACTCACTACACAGAGACCCAGAGACTAACACAACAGAGACCCATAGACTCACACAGCAGAGACCCACAGACTCACACAGCAGAGACCCATAGACTCACCACACAGAGACCCATAGACTCACCACACAGAGACCCATAGACTCACTACACAGAGACCCATAGACTCACCACACAGAGACCCATAGACTCACACAGCAGAGACCCATAGACTCATCACGCAGAGACCCATAGACTCACCACACAGAGACCCATAGACTCACCACACAGAGACCCATAGACTCACCACACAGAGACCCATAGACTCACCACACAGAGACCCATAGACTCACTACACAGAGACCCAGAGACTAACACAACAAAGACCCATAGACTCACACAGCAGAGACCCACAGACTCACCACACAGAGACCCATAGACTCATCACACAGAGACCCACAGACTCAGCACACAGAGACCCATAGACTCACCACACAGAGACCCATAGACTCATCACACAGAGACCCATAGACTCACTACACAGAGACCCATAGACTCATCACACAGACCCATAGACTCACCACACAGAGACCCATAGACTCACCACACAGAGACCCACAGACTCACCACACAGAGACCCATAGACTCACTACACAGAGACCCATAGACTCACCACACAGAGACCCATATACTCATCACACAGAGACCCACAGACTCACCACACAGAGACCCATAGACTCACCACACAGAGACCCACAGACTCACTACACAGAGACCCAGAGACTAACACAACAGAGACCCATAGACTCACTACACAGAGACCCATAGACTCACTACACAGAGACCCATAGACTCACTACACAGAGACCCATAGACTCACCAAACAGAGACCCATAGACTCACCACACAGAGACCCATAGACTCACCACACAGAGACCCATAGACTCACCACACAGAGACCCATAGACTGCTCACATAGACCCATAGACTCATCACACAGAGACCCATAGACTCACCACACAGAGACCCATAGACTCACCACACAGAGACCCATAGACTCACCACACAGAGACCCATAGACTGCTCACATAGACCCCAGTGGATGCATCAAGCGAACCCCCTGAGTGTGGCGTGATGTGGTGACGTCACCGTCACTTAGTGGGGTGGTTAGCGCACTGCACTACGAACCCGGGGTCTCTATGTATCTCTATGTATTTCCATGTATCTCCATGTGACGCTATGGGTCTCTATGCATCTCTATGTATCTCTATGTATTTCCATGTATCTCCATGTGACTCCATGGGTCTCTATGCATCTCTATGTATCTCTATGTATTCCTATGGGTGTCCATGTATCTCTATGGGTGTCCATGTATCTCCACGTGACTCTATGGGTCTCCATGTATCTCTATGCATCTCTGCGTATCTCCATGCATCTCCACGCGACTCTATGGGTCTCCATGTATCTCTATGTATCTCTATGCATCTCCGTGTATCTCCATGCATCTCCATGTGACTCTATGGGTCACCATGTATCTCTATGTGTCTCCATGTGACTATGGGTCTCCATGTATCTCTATGTGTCTCCATGTGACTATGGGTCTCCATGTATCTCTATGTGTCTCCATGTGACTATGGGTCTCCATGTATCTCTATGTGTCTCCATGTGACTATGGGTCTCCATGTATCTCTATGTGTCTCCTCTATGGGTCTCCATGTATCTCTATGTGTCTCCATGTGACTATGGGTCTCCATGTGACTCTATGTGTCTCCATGTGACTATGGGTCTCCATGTATCTCCATGTGTCTCCATGTGACTATGGGTCTCCATGTATCTCTATGTGTCTCCATGTGACTATGGGTCTCCACGTGACTCTATGTGTCTCCATGTGACTATGGGTCTCCATGTATCTCTATGTGTCTCCATGTGACTATGGGTCTCCACGTGACTCTATGTGTCTCCATGTGACTATGGGTCTCCATGTATCTCTATGTGTCTCCATGTGACTATGGGTCTCCACGTGACTCTATGTGTCTCCACGTGACTCTATGGGTCTCCATGTGACTCTATGTGTCTCCATGTGACTATGGGTCTCCATGTATCTCTATGTGTCTCCATGTGACTATGGGTCTCCATGTGACTCTATGTGTCTCCATGTGACTATGGGTCTCCATGTATCTCTATGTGTCTCCATGTGACTATGGGTCTCCATGTGACTCTATGTGTCTCCATGTGACTATGGGTCTCCATGTATCTCTATGTGTCTCCATGTGACTATGGGTCTCCATGTATCTCTATGTGTCTCCACGTGACTCTATGGGTCTCCATGTGACTCTATGTGTCTCCATGTGACTATGGGTCTCCATGTATCTCTATGTGTCTCCATGTGACTATGGGTCTCCATGTGACTCTATGTGTCTCCATGTGACTATGGGTCTCCATGTATCTCTATGTGTCTCCATGTGACTATGGGTCTCCATGTGACTCTATGTGTCTCCATGTGACTATGGGTCTCCATGTATCTCTATGTGTCTCCATGTGACTATGGGTCTCCATGTGACTCTATGTGTCTCCACGTGACTCTATGGGTCTCCATGTATCTCTATGTGTCTCCATGTGACTATGGGTCTCCACGTGACTCTATGTGTCTCCTCTATGGGTCTCCATGTATCTCTATGTGTCTCCATGTGACTATGGGTCTCCATGTATCTCTATGTGTCTCCATGTGACTATGGGTCTCCATGTGACTCTATGTGTCTCCTCTATGGGTCTCCATGTATCTCTATGTGTCTCCATCTGACTATGGGTCTCCATGTATCTCTATGTGTCTCCATGTGACTATGGGTCTCCATGTGACTCTATGTGTCTCCATGTGACTATGGGTCTCCATGTATCTCCATGTGTCTCCATGTGACTATGGGTCTCCATGTGACTCTATGTGTCCCCTCTATGGGTCTCCGTACGCCCCTATGGGGGTTTTGTCCTTGTAATAGCCGCGACCGACGGGGCCCGGCGCGCAGTTACCTGCACGCTGGCCACAAAGCTCCGCTTGTCGGTGGCGTGCAGGTAGAGGGAGTGCAGCACTGCCGAGTAGTGACGCTCGGGGTGATCCGGACTCCGCACGCGAGCCACGCACACCTGCACCACGCAGACCACGGAGCCGCGGAGAGCCTGGGTTCGGGCCCTGGGTCTGGGTGTCTCTCTATCAGGGGGTTTATAATGGCCGTGTCGGAGACACTGAGAGCCTGGGTTCGAGCCCTGGGTGTCTCTCTCTATCAGGGGGTTTATAATGGCTGTGACGGAGACACTGAGAGGCTGGGTTCCAGCCCTGGGTCTGGGTGTCTCTCTCTCTATCAGGGGGTTCATAGTGGCCGTGTCGGAGACACTGAGAGCCTGGGTTCGAGCCCTGGGTCTGGGTGTCTCTCTCTCTATCAGGGGGTTCATAATGGCCGTGTCAGAGACACTGAGAGCCTGGGTTCAAGCCCTGGGTCTGGGTGTCTCTCTCTCCCTCTCTCTATCAGGAGGTTCACGATGGCCATATCGGAGACATTGAGAGCTTGGGTTCGAGCCCTGGGTCTGGGTGTCTCTCTCTCTATCAGGGGGTTCATAATGGCCGTGTCGGAGACACTGAGAGGCTGGGTTCAAGCCCTAGGTCTGGGTGTCTCTCTCTCTCCCTCTCAGGGGGTTCATAGTGGCCGTGTCGGAGGCAGGGGCTTCCTTACCGCCACGACTTGGCTGATGGTATAAGTGCTGCCCTCTCTCTGCTCGTGGTGATGGGCTGTTCCATTTCCCTCAGCAGGAGGTTTCTCCTCTGCACCCCCATTTGCAGGCAATGAATGGACCGTTCCAGTGTGCAGCATGGTCTGCAGGGTTTAAACACGAGCAATTATCGTTATCACACACCACACACCACACACAACGGTATACGTTATACACATTGTAAACACCACGTGTTGCATACACAAGATATACCACACACGATCTGTAAACAGCGTTACTGGTCTTGCCGGCTGGTGCCAAGCAATGTCCGTGTTTTTCAAGGGTCTTATTTAACTTCACCCATGCGTGTCGCGGTCAAACCTTGCGATCAAAAGTAAGGCTACTTCCCGTTGTCCAACAAACGCCGAATGTTGTGCACGTGCTCAGACCCGGAGGCAATGCATGCCCGTGCCGTGCAGTAGCTCTTGACACCGAGCAGGATTGTAGAACCACACGGAGACGGAACTTCAGGTGAGGTGATGTTGGTGGCAGTGATGGTGATGATGGTGGTGATTATAGTGGTGGTGATGGTGATGATGGTGGTAGTGATGATGGTGGTGATATTGGTGGTGGTGATGATGGTGATTATAGTGGTGGTGGTGGTGATGGTGATGATGGTGTTAGTGATGGTGATGTTTGGTGGTGATTATAGTGGTGATGATGGTGATGTTGGTAGCAGTGATGATGGTGGTGATGGTGGTGGTTATAGTGATGATGATGGTGATGTTGGTGATGATGGTGGTAGTGATGGTGATGATGGTGATGATGATGGTGATGATGGTGGTAGTGATGGTGGTGATGATGGTGGTAGTGATGATGGTGGTGGTGATGATGATGATGATGGTGGTGATGATGATGGTGATTATAGTGGTGATGATGTTGATAGTGATGGTGATTATAGTGGTGATGATGGTGATGATGGTGGTAGTGATGATGATGGTGGTGATGATGATGGTGATTATAGTGGTGATGATGGTGATGATGGTGGTGGTGATGGTGATGATGGTGGTGGTGATGGTGATGATGGTGATGATGGTGGTGATGATGATGGTGATGATGGTGATGATGGTGATTATAGTGGTGATGATGGTGATGATGATGGCGATTATAGTGGTGATGATGTTGATAGTGATGGTGGTGGTGATGGTGATTATAGTGGTGATGATGGTGATGATGGTGGTGGTAGTGATGATGGTGGTGGTGGTGATGATGATGGTGATGCTTTGTTGGAGGTCTTCATCCAGCAGTGGACAGACCCTGACTGATGGTGATGATTATTATACTATAAATACAAAGCTCCCCCCGATAGCCTATAACAGACTGTTGGGGCAAGTGCTGTTAGCGAGTAGCAGCACCTGTGAAGGCCGGCCCACGAGGGGGTGGGTGGTAGGGCCGAACGATTTGGGGAAAATATCTAATTGCGATTTTTCTGACAGATATTTCGATTGCGGTTTGATTTGCGATTACATTTTAGATTTAAAACACGGGATGCGGCATCACCACGTGATACCGTCAACATATTAACCGCTATGTATATTCTAATGCCTGGATGAGAACCTAAAAGTTATGAATTGCTTCCAACGTGTACTTATTAAAATGTTTTCATTGAAATCGAACAATCAAACATGAAACAATTGTTAAGTTAAATAAATAAAGTTAGAATAATAATACAAAAATAAAACAATTCCAATAAGGAAGTAATAGGGATTCATCTTCTTTGGTTCTTTCGGTAAAGTCACCACCACGTAGAATGAGAATAAAATAATAAATTGATAAAATAAAATAACACAATAAAATTCTCACGACGTTTCGGCCACCAACACAAGTGGCCTTCATCAGGTGAAAGGGACGAGACTGTCTGGTAGGACAGCGCTGGAGTGAAAGAGCCACGTTCAGATCACGGCCTTTAAGCTTAGAGTCGCGGCATCTCTTCAGAAAGGTGAGAGACTCGATTAGTTGAGCCTTCTTATCCCGAAGTCTGTTGAATGATCTTAAGGATGTGTGGAATCCCTCCCCGTAGAGGCGGTTAAATTTCGATTTAAAGCTTTTGTGACTGCAATGATTCATCTTCTTTGGTTCTTTCGGTAAAGTCACCACCACGTAGAATGGGAATAAAATAATACATTGATAAAATAAAATAACACGATAATAATTCTCACGACGTTTCGGCCACAACACAAGCGGCCTTCATCAGGTGAAGGGGACGAGACTGTCTGGTAGGACAGCGCTGGAGCGAACACAGCCAAGCTTGGCTCCAGCGCTGTCCTCCAGACAGACAGTCTCGTCCCTTCACCTGATGAAGGCCGCTTGTGTTGTGGCCGAAACGTCGTGAGAATTTTACTGTGTTATTTTATTTTATCAATTTATTATTTTATTCTCATTCTACGTGGTGGTGGTGGTGACTTTTTTAAGCTTTAAATCGAAAAGTAAGAGGGGCTTTTCAAATCGCAAAAAAAATCGATTTGAAATCGATTCATCGATCAGCCCTAGTGGGTGGCCAGCACCACGCCCGGCCGCCTTTGTCTCCCCAGTGGCGACGTTTACAACTGCACACCGCAGCGCCAGGTAACCCGTTCGAGGCCGAGTCGACCTAGGGGAGGGCCCAGCACCGGTTCAGATGATCGTCGCCTGGTGGTGTTGATGGCCGTGAGCGGGAATCGAAGTCGGGCGGCCGGGCTCGCAGCGCGCTGGCGCTAACCGCTGACACACCGCCGCTACGCGGACAGACACGCACGCGCCTGTCACTCGCCTGTTGCTCGCCTGTCACTCGCCTGTCATTTGCCTGCCACGGGCCTGTCACGGGCCTGTCACTCGCCTGTCACGCGCCTGACACTCGCCTGTCACTCGCCTGACACTCGCTCTGTCACGCGCCTGTCACTCGCTCTGTCACTCGCTCTGTCACTCGCTCTGTCACTCGCCTGTCACTCGCCTGTCACTCGCTCTGTCACTCGCCTGACACTCGCTCTGTCACTCGCCTGTCACTCGCCTGACACTCGCCTGTCACTCGCCTGTCACTCACCTGTCACGGGCCTGTCACTCGCTCCGTCACTCGCTCTGTCACTCGCTCTGTCACTCGCTCTGACACTCGCTCTGTCACTCGCCTGTCACTCGCTCTGTCACTCGCTCTGTCACGCGCCTATCACTCGCTCTGTCACTCGCCTGTCACTCGCTCTGTCACCCACCTGTCACTCGCCTGTCACGGGCCTGGCACGCGCCTGGCACCCTGTCACGGGCCTGTCACTCACCTGTCACTCGCTCTGTCACTCGCCTATCACTCGCCTGTCACGCGCCTGTCACTCGCCTGTCACTCGCTCTGTCACTCGCTCGTCACTCGCCTGTCACTCGCTCTGTCACTCGCTCTGTCACTCGCCTGTCGCTCGCCTGTCACTCGCCTGTCACTCGCTCTGTCACTCGCTCTGTCACTCGCTCTGTCACTCGCTCTGTCACTCGCCTGTCACTCGCTCTGTCACTCGCTCTGTCACTCGCCTGTCACTCGCTCTGTCACTCGCTCTGTCACTCGCCTGTCACTCGCTCTGTCGCTCGCTCTGTCGCTCGCTCTGTCACTCGCTCTGTCACTCGCTCTGTCACTCGATCTGTCACTCGCTCTGTCACTCGCTCTGTCACTCGCCTGTCACTCGCTCTGTCACTCGCTCTGTCACTCGCCTGTCACTCGCTCTGTCACTCGCTCTGTCACTCGCCTGACACTCGCCTGTCACTCGCCTGTCACTCGCCTGTCACTCGCTCTGTCACTCGCTCTGTCACTCGCTCTGTCACTCGCTCTGTCACTCGCCTGTCACTCGCTCTGTCACTCGCCTGTCACTCGCCTGTCACTCACTCTGTCACTCGCCTGACACTCGCCTGTCACACGCTCTGTCACTCGCCTGTCACTCGCTCTGTCACTCGCTCTGTCACTCGCCTGTCACTCGCCTGTCACTCGCTCTGTCACTCGCTCGACACTCGCTCTGTCACTTGCCTGTCACTCGCCTGTCACTCGCCTGACACTCACCTGTCACTCGCCTGTCACTCGCCTGTCACTCGCTCTGTCACTCGCCTGTCACTCGCCTGTCACTCGCTGTCACGAGCCTGTCACTCGCCTGTCACTCGCTCTGTCACTCGCCTGTCACTCGCTCTGTCACTCGCCTGTCACTCGCTCTGTCACTCGCCTGTCACTCGCTCTGTCACTCGCCTGTCACTCGCCTGTCACTCGCCTGTCACTCGCCTGACACTCGCCTGTCACTCGCCTGTCACTCGCCTGTCACTCGCTCTGTCACTCGCTCTGTCACTCGCCTGTCACTCGCTCTGTCACTCGCTCTGTCACTCGCCTGTCACTCGCCTGTCACTCGCCTGTCACTCGCCTGTCACTCGCTCTGTCACTCGCCTGTCACTCGCCCTGTCGCTCGCTCTGTCACTCGCCTGACACTCGCCTGTCACTCGCCTGTCACTCGCTCTGTCACTCGCCTGTCACTCGCTCTGTCACTCGCCTGTCACTCGCCTGTCACTCGCCTGTCACTCGCCTGTCACTCGCTCTGTCACTCGCCTGTCACTCGCCCTGTCGCTCGCTCTGTCACTCGCCTGACACTCGCCTGTCGCTCGCCTGTCACTCGCCTGTCACAGGCCTGTCACTCGCTCTGTCACTCGCCTGTCACTCGCCTGTCACACGCCTGTCACTCGCTCTGTCGCTCGCTCTGTCACTCGCTCTGTCACTCGCTCTCTCGCTCTCTCACTCGCTCTCTCACTCGCTCTCTCACTCGCTCTCTCACTCGCTCTCTCGCTCTCTCACTCGCTCTCTCACTCGCTCTCTCACTCGCTCTGTCACTCGCTCTGTCACTCGCTCTGTCACTCGCCTGTCACTCGCCTGTCACACGCCTGTCACTCGCCTGTCACTCGCTCTGTCACTCGCTCTGTCACTCGCCTGTCACTCGCCTGTCACTCGCTCTGTCACTCGCTCCATCACTCGCTCTCTCACTCGCTCTCTCGCTCTCTCACTCGCTCTCTCACTCGCTCTCTCACTCGCTCTCTCACTCGCTCTCTCGCGCTCTCACTCGCTCTCTCACTCGCTCTCTCACTCGCTCTGTCACTCGCTCTGTCGCTCGCACACTCACTCGCTCTCTCACTCGCTCTCTCACTCGCTCCGTCACTCGCTCTGTCACTCGCTCTGTCACTCGCCTATCACTCGCTCTGTCACTCGCTCTGTCACTCGCCTGTCACTCGCTCCGTCACTCGCTCCGTCACTCGCTCCGTCACTCGCTCCGTCACTCGCTCCGTCACTCGCTCCGTCACTCGCTCTGTCACTCGCTCTGTCACTCGCTCTGTCACTCGCTCTGTCGCTCGCACACTCACTCGCTCTCTCACTCGCTCTCTCACTCGCTCTGTCACTCGCTCCGTCACTCGCTCTGTCACTCGCTCCGTCACTCGCTCCGTCACTCGCTCCGTCACTCGCTCTGTCACTCGCTCTGTCACTCGCTCTGTCACTCGCTCTCTCACTCGCTCTCTCACTCGCTCTGTCACTCGCTCCGTCACTCGCTCTGTCACTCGCTCCGTCACTCGCTCCGTCACTCGCTCCGTCACTCGCTCCGTCACTCGCTCCGTCACTCGCTCCGTCACTCGCTCTGTCACTCGCTCTGTCACTCGCTCTCTCACTCGCTCCGTCACTCGCTCTGTCACTCGCTCTCTCACTCGCTCTCTCACTCGCTCCGTCACTCGCTCTGTCACTCGCTCCGTCACTCGCTCTGTCACTCGCTCTGTCACTCGCTCTGTCACTCGCTCTCTCACTCGCTCCGTCACTCGCTCACCTTCACACCACCGCCACCCCCGCCGCCCGAATGGAGCGGCCCGCGAGCCCCGGCCGCGGCCGCCGCCGCGGCCGGGTGGCGGCCGGGGCCGCTGGCGCCGCAGGTCATGCCCTCGATGAGACGCTCCAGGGCCGGGCTGAGCTCCCTCTCCTCGTCGTCGTGGACGCCCCAGTCCAGGCAGCGGTAGATGGCCACACCCACGCGCTGCAACGCCCGCTGCCGAGACAATTGAAGAAGATAAAAAATAAAATAAAAATAACATAACGACGACTTAAAAAAAACACCACGACGTCTCAATCGCGACGCAAGCGGTCTCGTTCCGCAGAAATTTTTTTTTAAAAAATTTTTTTAAAATTTTTATTTTATTTTAATTTTGTCTACCTACGCGGCTTTCCCGAAGGAAACCAAACAAATGAATCCACGCGGTTTTGAGTTGGAAATTTACAATTTTTTTGTTTTTAAAAACAAGGACCAAAAAATCGCAGCACGGAAGGTCGCCCGGCCGCTGTGAGTTTTGTTGGTTCGTTTTAAAAAAAAATTATTTTCATTACTTTTTTAATTGTATTATTTCCAGCCACGTGACTTTTGCCGAAAGACCCAAAGAACATGAATTCGCGAGCGAGGGTGCTTTTTCAACGGGTCACATCGCGTAAGTGTAAATGTTGTGTCGTGAGCCTCCATCGCTCGACACAGCCAGGAGGGTTTGTCGAGTGAACAACGCGCCGATTAGCTACGAGTGTAGTGTAGCGTGTAGTGTATAGTGTAGTATGCAGTGTATAGTGTGTCGTAGTGTAGTGTGTAGTAGTGTAGTAGTGGAGTGTATAGTGTAATGTGTAGTAGTGTAGTGTATAGGAGTGTAGTGTATAGTAAGTGTCGTGTATAGTGTAGTGTAGTATGCAGTGTATAGTGTGTCGTAGTATAGTGTAGCGTGTAGTAGTGTAGTGTATAGTAGTGGTGTATAGTAGTGTAGTGTATGGTAAGTGTCGTGTATAGTGTAGTGTAGTATGTAGTGTGTAGTAGTGTAGTGCATAGTAGTGTAGTGTAGCGTGTAGTTTATAGTAAGTGTCGTGTATAGTGTAGTGTGTAGTAGTGGTGTATAGTGTAGTGTAGTATGCAGTGTATAGTGTGTGGTAGTATAGTGTAGTGTGTAGTAGTGGAGTGCATAGTAGTGTAGTGTACAGTGCAGTGCATCGTAGTGTAGTATATAGTAGTGCCGTGCACAGTGTAGTGTGTAGTAGTGTAGTGTACAGTAGTGTAGTATGTGGTGTAGTGTATAGTGTAGTGTATAGTAGTGGTATATAGTAGTGTAGTATGTGGTGTAGTGTATAGTGTAGTGTATAGTAGTGTCGTGTATAGTGTAATGTATAGTAGTGTAATGTGTAGTAGTGTAGTGTATAGTAGTGGTGTATAGTGTGTAGTAGTATCGTGTAGTAGTGTAGTGTGTAGTAGTGTAGTGCATAGTGTAGTGTATAGTGTAGTGTGTAGTAGTGGTGTATAGTGTAGTGTATAGTGTAGTTGTGTAGTGTAGTTGTGTAGTGTATAGTAGTGTAGTGTATAGCAGTGCAGTGGAAAGTGTAGTGTCTAGTAGTGTAGTGTCTAGTAGTGTAGTGTCTAGTAGTGTAGTGTATAGTAGTGTAGTGTATAGTAGTGTAGTGTATAGTAGTGTAGTGTCTAGTAGTGTATAGTAGTGTAGTGAATAGCAGTGTAGTGTATCGTAGTGTAGTGTGTAGTAGTTTAGTGTGTAGAAGTGTAGTGTGTAGAAGTGTAGTGTATAGTAGTGATGTGAGATAGAGTGGTGATGTGAGATAGAGTGGTGATGAGTGATGAGTGAGTCAGTGTGAGTCAGTGTGTGGGTCAGTGTGTGAGTCGGTGTGTGTGTGCGTCAGTGTGTGTGTGTGTGGGTGAGTGTGTGAGTCAGTGTGTGTGTGTGTGAGTCAGTGTGTGAGTCAGTGTGTGTGTGTGTGAGTCAGTGTATGAGTCAGTGTGTGTGTGTGTGCGTGTGAGTGAGTGAGTCAGTGTGTGAGTCAGTGTATGAGTCAGTGTGTGAGTCAATGTGTGTGTGTGTGCGTGTGTGTGAGTCAGTGTGTGTGTGAGTCAGTGTATGAGTCAGTGTGTGAGTCAGTGTGTGAGTCAGTGTGTGAGTCAGTGTGTGAGTCAGTGTGTCAGTCAGTGTGTGAGTCAGCGTGTGAGTCGGTGTGTGTGCGTGTGTGGATCAGCGTGGGGTGCACGTAAACCCCCACGTTCGACACGTAACGTCTCAGCGATTGACTGTGTCCCTGTCTGCCGGGGAGCGTGAGGGGGCGATGTTCCACCGGTACCTCCGTTCCACAGTCTGTTAAGGCTATATGGGGGATCTTTATCTTTGTGTGGGTGTCAGTGTGTGAGTCAGTGTGTGTGTGAGTCAGTGTGTGAGTCAGTGTGTGGGTCAGTGTGTGAGTCGGTGTGTGTGTGCGTCAGTGTGTGTGTGTGGGTGAGTGTGTGAGTCAGTGTGTGTGTGTGTGAGTCAGTGTGTGAGTCAGTGTGTGTGTGTGTGTGAGTCAGTGTATGAGTCAGTGTGTGTGTGTGAGTGAGTGAGTCAGTGTGTGAGTCAGTGTATGAGTCAGTGTGTGAGTCAATGTGTGTGTGTGCGTGTGTGTGTCAGTCAGTGTGTGAGTCAGCGTGTGAGTCGGTGTGTGTGCGTGTGTGGATCAGCGTGAGGTACACGTAAACCCCCACGTTCGACACGTAACGTCTCAGCGATTGACTGTGTCCCTGTCTGCCGGGGAGCGTGAGGGGGCGATGTTCCACCGGTACCTCCGTTCCACAGTCGATCCACGCCGAGCCATCTGTGGAGGAGGAGGAGGAGGACAAAGGGGACAGAAACCTCTCCGTGAGCGTCGTCGGAGAGATAGTGATGAGAGATAGAGTGGTGATGAGAGATAGTGATGAGAGATAGTGATGGGAGATAGAGTGGTGATGAGAGATAGTGTGGTGATGAGAGATAGTGATGGGAGATAGAGTGGTGATGAGAGAGAGTGATGAGGGATAGTGATGGGAGATAGAGTGGTGATGGGAGATAGTGTGGTGATGAGAGATAGTGATGAGAGATAGAGTGGTGATGGGAGATAGTGTGGTGATGAGAGATAGAGTGGTGATGAGAGATAGTGATGAGAGATAGAGTGGTGATGAGAGAGAGTGGTGATGGGAGATAGTGATGAGAGATAGAGTGGTGATGAGAGATAGTGATGAGAGATAGTGTGGTGATGAGTGATAGAGTGGTGAGAGATAGTGTTGAGAGATAGTGATGAGAGATAGAGTGGTGATGAGAGATAGTGATGAGAGATAGTGTGGTGATGAGTGATAGAGTGGTGAGAGATAGTGTTGAGAGATAGTGATGAGAGATAGAGTGGTGATGAGAGATAGAGTGGTGATGAGAGATAGTGTGGTGATGAGTGATAGTGATGAGAGATAGAGTGGTGATGAGAGATAGAGTGGTGATGAGAGATAGTGATGAGAGATAGTGATGAGAGATAGAGTGGTGATGGGAGATAGAGTGGTGATGAGAGATAGAGTGGTGATGAGAGATAGTGATGAGAGATAGAGTGGTGATGAGAGATAGAGTGGTGATGAGAGATAGAGTGGTGATGAGAGATAGTGATGTGAGATAGAGTGGTGATGAGAGATAGTGATGAGAGATAGTGATGTGAGATAGAGTGGTGATGAGAGATAGTGTGGTGATGAGAGATAGTGATGGGAGATAGAGTGGTGATGAGAGAGAGTGATGAGGGATAGTGATGGGAGATAGAGTGGTGATGGGAGATAGTGTGGTGATGAGAGATAGTGATGAGAGATAGAGTGGTGATGGGAGATAGTGTGGTGATGAGAGATAGAGTGGTGATGAGAGATAGTGATGAGAGATAGAGTGGTGATGAGAGAGAGTGGTGATGGGAGATAGTGATGAGAGATAGAGTGGTGATGAGAGATAGTGATGAGAGATAGTGTGGTGATGAGTGATAGAGTGGTGAGAGATAGTGTTGAGAGATAGTGATGAGAGATAGAGTGGTGATGAGAGATAGTGATGAGAGATAGTGTGGTGATGAGTGATAGAGTGGTGAGAGATAGTGTTGAGAGATAGTGATGAGAGATAGAGTGGTGATGAGAGATAGAGTGGTGATGAGAGATAGTGTGGTGATGAGTGATAGTGATGAGAGATAGAGTGGTGATGAGAGATAGAGTGGTGATGAGAGATAGTGATGAGAGATAGTGATGAGAGATAGAGTGGTGATGGGAGATAGAGTGGTGATGAGAGATAGAGTGGTGATGAGAGATAGTGATGAGAGATAGAGTGGTGATGAGAGATAGAGTGGTGATGAGAGATAGAGTGGTGATGAGAGATAGTGATGTGAGATAGAGTGGTGATGAGAGATAGTGATGAGAGATAGTGATGTGAGATAGAGTGGTGATGAGAGATAGTGAAGAGAGATAGAGTGGTGATGAGAGATAGTGATGAGAGAGAGAGAGTGGTGATGAGAGATAGTGACGGGAGATAGTGATGAGAGATAGATTGGTGAGAGATAGAGTGGTGATGAGAGATAGAGTGGTGAGAGATAGAGTGGTGATGGGAGATAGTGATGAGAGATAGATTGGTGATGAGAGATAGAGTGGTGATGAGAGATAGTGATGAGAGATAGTGATGTGAGATAGAGTGGTGATGAGAGATAGTGATGAGAGATAGAGTGGTGATGAGAGATAGTGATGAGAGAGAGAGAGTGGTGATGAGAGATAGTGACGGGAGATAGTGATGAGAGATAGATTGGTGAGAGATAGAGTGGTGATGAGAGATAGATTGGTGAGAGATAGAGTGGTGATGAGAGATAGAGTGGTGAGAGATAGAGTGGTGATGGGAGATAGTGATGAGAGATAGATTGGTGATGAGAGATAGAGTGGTGAGAGATAGTGATGAGAGATAGAGTGGTGATGAGTGATAGAGTGGTGATGAGTGATAGAGTGGTGAGAGATAGTGATGAGAGATAGAGTGGTGATGGGAGATAGAGTGGTGATGGGAGATAGAGTGGTGGTGAGAGATAGTGATGAGAGATAGAGTGGTGATGTGAGATAGAGTGGTGATGAGAGATAGTGACGGGAGATAGAGTGGTGATGAGAGATAGTGATGGGAGATAGAGTGGTGAAGAGAGATAGTGTGGTGAGAGATAGAGTGGTGATGGGAGATAGTGATGGGAGATAGTGTGGTGATGGGAGATAGAGTGGTGATGAGAGATAGTGATGAGAGATAGTGGTGATGAGAGATAGAGTGGTGATGAGAGATAGTGATGAGAGATAGTGATGAGAGATAGAGATAGTGATGAGAGATAGAGTGGTGATGAGAGATAGAGTGGTGATGGGAGATAGAGTGGTGAGAGATAGTGATGAGAGATAGTGATGAGAGATAGAGATAGTGATGAGAGATAGAGTGGTGATGGGAGATAGAGTGGTGATGGAAGATAGAGTGGTGAGAGATAGATTGGTGATGGGAGATAGAGTGGTGATGAGAGATAGATTGGTGATGAGAGATAGTGATGGGAGATGGAGTGGTGATGAGAGATAGTGATGAGAGATAGAGTGGTGATGAGAGATAGTGATGAGAGATAGTGATGGGAGATAGAGTGGTGATGAGAGATAGTGTGGTGATGAGAGATAGTGATGGGAGATAGAGTGGTGATGAGAGAGAGTGATGAGGGATAGTGATGGGAGATAGAGTGGTGATGGGAGATAGTGTGGTGATGAGAGATAGTGATGAGAGATAGAGTGGTGATGGGAGATAGTGTGGTGATGAGAGATAGAGTGGTGATGAGAGATAGTGATGAGAGATAGAGTGGTGATGAGAGAGAGTGGTGATGGGAGATAGTGATGAGAGATAGAGTGGTGATGAGAGATAGTGATGAGAGATAGTGTGGTGATGAGTGATAGAGTGGTGAGAGATAGTGTTGAGAGATAGTGATGAGAGATAGAGTGGTGATGAGAGATAGTGATGAGAGATAGTGTGGTGATGAGTGATAGAGTGGTGAGAGATAGTGATGAGAGATAGAGTGGTGATGAGAGATAGAGTGGTGATGAGAGATAGTGTGGTGATGAGTGATAGTGATGAGAGATAGAGTGGTGATGAGAGATAGAGTGGTGATGAGAGATAGTGATGAGAGATAGTGATGAGAGATAGAGTGGTGATGGGAGATAGAGTGGTGATGAGAGATAGAGTGGTGATGAGAGATAGTGATGAGAGATAGAGTGGTGATGAGAGATAGAGTGGTGATGAGAGATAGAGTGGTGATGAGAGATAGTGATGTGAGATAGAGTGGTGATGAGAGATAGTGATGAGAGATAGTGATGTGAGATAGAGTGGTGATGAGAGATAGTGTGGTGATGAGAGATAGTGATGGGAGATAGAGTGGTGATGAGAGAGAGTGATGAGGGATAGTGATGGGAGATAGAGTGGTGATGGGAGATAGTGTGGTGATGAGAGATAGTGATGAGAGATAGAGTGGTGATGGGAGATAGTGTGGTGATGAGAGATAGAGTGGTGATGAGAGATAGTGATGAGAGATAGAGTGGTGATGAGAGAGAGTGGTGATGGGAGATAGTGATGAGAGATAGAGTGGTGATGAGAGATAGTGATGAGAGATAGTGTGGTGATGAGTGATAGAGTGGTGAGAGATAGTGTTGAGAGATAGTGATGAGAGATAGAGTGGTGATGAGAGATAGTGATGAGAGATAGTGTGGTGATGAGTGATAGAGTGGTGAGAGATAGTGTTGAGAGATAGTGATGAGAGATAGAGTGGTGATGAGAGATAGAGTGGTGATGAGAGATAGTGTGGTGATGAGTGATAGTGATGAGAGATAGAGTGGTGATGAGAGATAGAGTGGTGATGAGAGATAGTGATGAGAGATAGTGATGAGAGATAGAGTGGTGATGGGAGATAGAGTGGTGATGAGAGATAGAGTGGTGATGAGAGATAGTGATGAGAGATAGAGTGGTGATGAGAGATAGAGTGGTGATGAGAGATAGAGTGGTGATGAGAGATAGTGATGTGAGATAGAGTGGTGATGAGAGATAGTGATGAGAGATAGTGATGTGAGATAGAGTGGTGATGAGAGATAGTGAAGAGAGATAGAGTGGTGATGAGAGATAGTGATGAGAGAGAGAGAGTGGTGATGAGAGATAGTGACGGGAGATAGTGATGAGAGATAGATTGGTGAGAGATAGAGTGGTGATGAGAGATAGAGTGGTGAGAGATAGAGTGGTGATGGGAGATAGTGATGAGAGATAGATTGGTGATGAGAGATAGAGTGGTGATGAGAGATAGTGATGAGAGATAGTGATGTGAGATAGAGTGGTGATGAGAGATAGTGATGAGAGATAGAGTGGTGATGAGAGATAGTGATGAGAGAGAGAGAGTGGTGATGAGAGATAGTGACGGGAGATAGTGATGAGAGATAGATTGGTGAGAGATAGAGTGGTGATGAGAGATAGATTGGTGAGAGATAGAGTGGTGATGAGAGATAGAGTGGTGAGAGATAGAGTGGTGATGGGAGATAGTGATGAGAGATAGATTGGTGATGAGAGATAGAGTGGTGAGAGATAGTGATGAGAGATAGAGTGGTGATGAGTGATAGAGTGGTGATGAGTGATAGAGTGGTGAGAGATAGTGATGAGAGATAGAGTGGTGATGGGAGATAGAGTGGTGATGGGAGATAGAGTGGTGGTGAGAGATAGTGATGAGAGATAGAGTGGTGATGTGAGATAGAGTGGTGATGAGAGATAGTGACGGGAGATAGAGTGGTGATGAGAGAT